GATGTGTTCCGTGTCAATTAATTATTATTATTATAATTATTATTATTGTTATTACTATTATTATTATTATTATTATTATCATTATTATTATTATTATGAAGAACAATCATCCATGTCCACTTTCTAGTCTGCTTGGTTTTTCTGTTGCTCTATAATCATGAGTTCTGTTTACCTGCGAATGAATTGAAAGTGTATATATATCTGTTTTGAAAGTTTCAGGATATTTTTCACAAGGTATTAATATAGTTATGCTAGGTCAAAGTCGCTAAGAAAAGGCCTCCAAACTACATATTAGAGGTGGGAAACAACAAGCAGGTCTATTATCAATCCGTGCTAGACAAATTCATATATCAATTCCTTCTAAAACCCACCCAAGATCCTTTTGAACATGATTCCAGCACTGATGAAATTTTGTCCACAATTACTCAATGTGCATTCTTAAGTATTTCTTCCTTCTCCTTGACTTCAAGGATGCAATCAGAGAAGGAAATGGTCCAAGGCTTGCAACTTTGCATAAAGTTTTGGTGCAACAATTCAAATCATATTCTGGTTTCAATTCTTATGCAATTGAAATGCTTATGAGTATTGTCCAAAATGAGGTGTTTCTTACTGATGCAGAAGCACATAACTGTGTTCGGGCATCTATGGCTAATTGGACAGGTGGTCCTGGAGGGAAAACTGAAAATTCTGAAAACCTTATTCATTGCATTTTCTTAACCTTTAACTCGCAGAAATGATTAACATGAGATTATAATTTCTATACATTACCCAGCTAACAGGTAATAAGAGTACTCAAACTCATTGGGCAGAAGTAGTTATACTGATCTGACACCAAATTCTCATAACTAATTTACAGATAAATGTGCAGCAGTTAGAGGCGAGAACTAAGTCTATACGCGCGCATTAACAATTTCGAGGCTAGACAATTTCTAAAAGAAATAGCTTAAGTTTGAAAAGAAAGGGTAACCTCGGTCCTTCCACACAACACTTGATAGAGGCTTTTTACCTGGTAAGAAACAGACCTATCACCGGTTTAAACTACAGTTCTTTAAAAAAGACTAAATCAGATTTTTCAATCTCAGATAGAGCACATCAAAATGGTATAAATTGAATAAAGATCGTCTAAACTATGACCCAATTTTATCGAACATCCACACAAGTCAACACCTTCACTATTAGGGCACAAACCTTAGTAGGAGCAATGACGCAAATTTTAACTTGTCCTATTGAATTTGATGCACTCAGTAACCATAAGCTTTCCATTGATTTATGCCCTGTCCGTTCAGGCACATACCTTAGATTAAGTCTGCTTTTCACGTGTCCAACGATTGTTTTAGCATCCTGTAAGGCAGACTGGGCCATCTGGTGTGTGTACACTTCAGGAGAGACCCCTCTCCCAGGGTAGCGCATTCGCGCATAATCACCAACTAGATTTTGCAACCTGCTTGCTAGACTCGGTAGCTCACTGTCATTTAGATAGGTGGAAATTTCTACCAGGTCGTGAACCCGTGGCACGTTAGCACCTTCTGAATACAGGGCTGCTTTCAATGCCTTCTCTGCAGCCTAAGGGCGAAAAAAATAGAAACCTTCCGCCCTGTAGGTATATAACTCTTGCACATGTTAGTTCCGATGAGCGTTTCTTCTAGAAGCACCTCAACAAAAGATGGAGAACGATTCGATTGCCTATAATATTAATTTATTCATTTATTAATTTATTTACTTGAGGATTTCTACAAAGCAGTACCGGAGCAGAAACAACAGAACATAAGTCCCCTACTAGATTTCAACTTCAACCCAACCCAGAAACTCGCTAAAAACATCTATGAAAAAGTACTTTAAAGATTATTCTTAGTTTTATTTGAGTGGTTCAAAGAGAAGAAAAAAGGAATGGCTGAACATAACTAAAGGAATTTCATCATGTTATCAAGTGCTATGATAAAAATAATGCTGGAATATTATAATGACTACAGCTGAAGATCACTCTTACCTGGTGACTTTTATAGCAGGCCCAGCTATAAGCAGGGGTAACAGGATTCATGTCGTTCTCAGCTGCGTTAATGTCTACATCAGCTTGTCTGACCCAACGCCTGGCTTCCCTTAGTTGTCGATTTCGATTTCTTTTTTGTTCTCCTCCACGCTCTGTAAACAAGCCAAACAAAGTCCAGTAAGACCTGACAAACCTCTTGCAATGACATCAACTTTCTTTTTAAATTGCCCTATAGGCAACCAGGTTGGTGTTTTTGGTTGCTCTTGTATTTTTTTGGTAGGTAAATCTGTTTGTGTTACATTGGAATTTTGTGGGAATCAGTCAGTTCCAAAGCACACTACATAGTCACACAGTGATAGTTCGGGTGAGTGTAGCCCTGAGAAGGACTGTTAGGGGTATCGAATGGTCTTTGCGAGCATTTGCGAGCAGTGTGTTTATTTTTGCGAGCACGAGCAGTTGTCAAATTTTTCTTGCGAGCAGCGAGCACTTAAAAAAATAGAGATGGGGAGCAGCTAGCACTTTAGAAAATACAAATGGCAAACAGCGAACACTTCGTAAATTTTTCGCAAACCGGAATCTCTCTTCTATTGATAGGATACGTTGTTTTGCGCCAAGTAGTAGCTAATAATCTGGCTGACACTTCCAAAACAGAACAATAGGAGCAAAGCTAGGGCGGTTCAACCAGTCCCAGCATCTCACAGCCAACTGTGCCCTGCTTGATGCCAAATTACGTCACGTAGCTTCACATGAGTCAGTCAGGGTGGACATTCAAGAACTTCAAGAGCTTTCAAGGAAATGTACTGGATCCAAATCCCGCGATCTAAAGTTGTCCATTTATTTCTAACCCGACGCTAAAATGGATGGTATTTTTTTTTTGTTAAATAGTTCTTATGAAATGTAAACAACGTGACATTCAGTTTAACAAACATTTTGGGCTTCAGTTTCGATGATCGGCAAACTGGTTTCCCGCTGATCGACTGAAAAAGATTCAATGCAATGAAGCTTTATTCATTTGAAAGCTTCTAGAATCTAGCCAATTACAGCCATACAGATCTGACAAGCTCTAGTAGTAGCTCTGAAGGTCAAATAGTACTGGTAATAGTATTTCTCTGGACTACTTTCTACCTTCGCGAGTGCCTTTCTAGAAGAATTCTTACATTTCGTGTTTCCACGCGACATGGAGACATTAATTTTCTAGACGTCTCCTCGTTTGGCTAGGCCTTTAATTTTTAATCAAAATGATGAAAGCAACTTTTCATTGAAGAATTACAGGTAAAGCCCAAACGACCGAGGGTTGTTATTAATGTTGTTTTTTTTAATCGGGTTTCATATTCCACCGTTTGGCATCAGATTTTAATAGTTATTATTACTAGTGGCCAGGAAGCTGCTAAGGTTGAAAAAACCGCTACAAAATGCGATATCCGAGTACACTTTTTCAAAATGTTATGACTCCGTCTATTTTATTTCCATTAACACTGGAAAATCCACCATGTCAACAAGATGAAAGGAAACAATCACGTGATTCTAGAAAAGAGGAAGTCTCTTACTCCCCTTTTGAAACTAAAAATACTTGAAGCTTGCCGAAAAGAAAGTGGTAGCACATTCCATGAGTCAACAATCCTATTAAAAAAACTAAACTTAAGTGTCTGTCCTTGCAAAATTCTTCTTCAATGTGAGTTCGTCCCTTCCCCTTAAATAGTACCTCTCAGAGTCTGAATAAAATTGAATATATGAGGAAACATCTAAGTTAATGTGCCCATTTAGAGCTTTATAAAAGAACAAAACATCCAACAAAAAACGTCTATCCTTCAAGGATAACAAGTTCAGTCTTTCTCCTCATTCTAGCATCATACTCAGCATCTGTCTTTAATATAAACTTTGTAGCTCTTCGTTGAATTCTTTCCAACTTATCGACATTTCTAGCTGTGTAAGGTGACCAGATGACAGAACAGTACTCCAGTCGGGACCTTACCAAGGTACAGTATAAGGTTCTTAAGGTGGTTATATCATTCAGTCCCCTGCACGTTCTTTTAATGAGGCCAAGAATCTTATTAGCCTTACTTGATATTTTGTCGACATGGGTATTCCAAGACAGCCTACCCGTAGTAACTAAGCCAAGGTCACAAAACTCGGATGTTTCCTCCAAGGTGTTATCATTGAGCTGAAGGTCAGAGTGGAAAGGCATTTTCTTTTTGGTGACTCACATCAGTGTACACTTCTTTACATTAAAGTCCATTAAGTTTTGTTGACTCTATGAGTGCAAGTTATTCAGATCTGATTGAAACACTTGATGGTCGGATGGACAATTTATCACTCTTGATGATTTACAATCATCAGCGTAATAAGGTAATTGTGTTACCAGCCATAACTGCATCAGGTAAATCACTAATGAATATCACGAAGAACAGGGACCTAATAATGAGCCCTGTGGTACACCAGATGGAATAACAGTCCAGGAGCAACTCATTCCCTCTATAACAACTCTTTGCTCTCTATCAGTCAAGTAATCTTTACACAAGTTTAGCAGATTACCAGAAATGCCAAAGTTACACAACTTCTGCAGAAGTATATCATGTGACACTCTGTCGAAGGACTTTGCAAAGTCTAAGAAAACTACATCCACCTGTAGTCCATCATCTAGAGCCTTGGTCCAATAATGGTGTGTTAGTACCAACTGAGAAGCACACGAACGACCTCTTATAAACCCATGCTGCCAATCAGTCAGGTAGGGAGCAACGTGAGAGTATAAGGCTCTATGTACTATTTTTTCCTGGAATTTACTTGGTATAGATGGTATAGAAATAGATCGATAATTCTCTACTACATCATTGGCATCTGCTTTATATACGGGGGTGATATTAGCCTTTTTCCACAGGGAAGAGACCTTCCTACTGCTAAAAGACAGATTAAATAGCAACGTCAAAGGGGGTGATAGCTCTTGCGCACACTCTTTTAGAATACTAGCAGATATACCGTCCACTCCAGTAGCTTTGTTAGTGTCCAGCCTACTAAGAATATCTTTGACTTTAATATTGGATGTTGAGACATCCATCAATAGGTCTGGATTAACTACATTACTGTGTAGGACGATGAAAGACTCATCTGATATTTTGGTGGAGAACACAGAGCCAAAGAATTCATTGAACAAGGAAGCTTTCCCAAGTGGGTCTTTAGCAGATTTAGCTTTGCTTCGGTAGACCATGACCTCCGCCAATCTTTTTGTCTTAGACTTCAGTGAATGAAAGGACCAGAACTTTTTGGGATTTGACTTCAACTAGTCTGACAAGGACTTTAGAAACTGACGATATTTAGAGGAGATAAGACACTTAGTTTCCTTCCTAAGCAGTTTAAATTTTGATGTCAGTTCAGCAGTGGTATTGATCTTCAGGCGTTTCCACACGGCTTCCTTTTTCCTTACCAACCTTAGAACATCGTTATCTATCCATGGTGGTCTGGGATTGCGTCTGAGCTTCATCGTTGGTACATGCTGGTTGACTGCAGCCAGTATAAGATCTTGAAAATTAGCTGTACTTAAATCAATGTCACAGGATATAAAAGAATCCCAAGAAATCTGAGAGAGGGTGTGTCCTAAACCATCAAAGTCAGCTTTGTCGTAGCGTAACACTGATCTTTGACTGTTTTTTGGCCTGTTAAATTTTTTTTTCGATATCAAAACAGACTGGAAAATGGTCCGAGTCAAAACCATTCGGATACACAGTAGTTCCTTCGATTATAGATTCATGATTCGTCAAGACAAGGTCCAAGATATTACCATAAGACAAGGTGCTTGACGAGGCATAAGGACGAGTTACGTGGAAGTTTGTTTGTATAAGGAAATAGTCGTCATGCATTTCACAAAAGGTTTCAGTCAGGCTATCCGCAGTAGTTGGTGAGCCAGTAGACCAATCGACACTAGGGAAATTAAAGTCACCAGTGATAACTATATCAGCTATTCCAGTAGTGGAGACATTATTCAGAAATCTCTTGAATTCTTCTAAGAAACTCTCTCCAATGTCAGGTGGTCTATAGAAAACTGCAAATAACAGGCATCTGGAGTTACTTATCCTCAGCTCAAAAACCAACATCTCGGTGTTGACCTCCAGATCATATCTGCGAACACAATGTTGATCTGATTTTATTGCTAGCAACAAACCACCACCACGCTGATGACATCTATCTCGACGAAATATATTATAGTCTTCAAGGCGGAGTTCACGATCATCAAAATCATTGTTCAGCCAGGTTTCAGTCAAGACCACTATGTCAAAAGGGTCAGTTAACAATAAAGTTTTCAGGTCAAAAATCTTATTACATACACTCCTCGTGTTTAACAGTAGACACTTGGAGAAGCCACTTGAGGAACGTCCAGCAGAAGCAGCAGCACTAGATGAGCTTAAATTCAGACCAGATTCTGTCGAACAGAACTACTCGAAGAAGGAATCACTGAAATTGAAGGGCCAGCCACAGTTTTTGTCACAAAACCATTGCTCATCAAAATCACCTAAGTCAATATAGGTCTTGGGGTCCATAGAGATGCATTTAAGGTGGACCCACTTGTTACAACCATCACAGAGAATACCTTTCTGGTTTGAACGAACAGGTTTCGAGCACACATCACAAGGAAACTTCCAAATGGGTTTCTTTCGGACTGTTATCTGGTCCCGGGTTTATTTTGATGTCTCCACACTGTGCCAATCTTGAAACATTAAAAGTAGAAAGAGAGTTTGGATATCGAGACACTTCAGCAGCAGGATATCCTTTCTTTCTTCTCAATAGTGTCCCAAAGTCAAGAACAAGATGGCGGACTCGTGAAATCGGTTCAACTTGAAGGTTTGAAGTCTTTTCGGGATCATTGATGCTTCTTGCAGAAAACAGATGTGTTGCGCGATTTCTTACGCACAATTTGGCAATTAAAAAGCTATTGAAAATTAAGCAATAAGCAAAAAAATCAAAATACGAAAATGTTAACGAAATTGCGAGCATGGAGCATGTGCGTGCACCGACAAGCGAGCACCCGTGTTATTTTCGGGAGCAACTTTTTTTTTTATATTATTTTGTGGAAAACCTGTAAACTAGCTTCAGCTAAGTATTTCTACCCTCGTTATACAAGGATCACGTATTTATGATTAAGTATAAATGTATGTTTGCTTGTACCAACCTGACGCCATTATGGAAGGCTTCGAATATGCTGAATAAAGCTGAAAGTTTCTAAAGAAACTGAGGTGCTGCGTCGGTTGGTGAACAAGGCTATTTGGTTATATCAACTAAGTTGAAATTGTAATGAAGTTGAAGGTGTGATGTATAAAAGAGCTAATGTTTCGACTGCGCGCTCTAAGCCTATATCAATATATCTATATCTATATGCACTAACCTTATTTTAACTTCGTTAAATTCAGACCCAGTTCCCAGACAACAAAACGTTAAATCGGAACATTTCGAACACGTGGGCTTGAGTCAGTGTGTATCGCATTTCACTGAAACGCAAGATGGCCGCCATTCTATGGAGATTATCAAAGTTGCCATCAAAGCTGCCATCTTTCATACCGAAATTGAGGAGCAAAAGTTCTTCAAGCCTATCAAGCTTCTTGTAACTTGACGGAGTTTGCTTCATGGCCAATCTCACGAAGCTGGGGTTTATTTCCTTGGCAGAGGTATAGCAAGTAATGACCGTGCTGACATGGTTAGGTACAGACACAACTGGCACAGTAGCTGCCAATAATACTCGAAGAAGCAGTTCTTTGGTGTCACTTACATCAAGTTTGGTCGAAATCGGCTTCTTCCACTTTAATCCAGCGTCCAGAATCTGTATCGATGTAGAAAAAATTCTGCTGTAGTAGTGTGCGAAGAATAGGCTTGATGAGCTTCTTCCACTTCTGGTCAATACAGATAATATTTGGCCACGCTCTGAAAGACAACAACCAAGGTATCATAATTACACTGAGTTTCAAAACAATAGGACTTTCGCTGTAAAACAGCGAAGATTCACAGACTGCGCCTAGGTCCTTTTCTTTTTGGCTCAGAGAGTTCGTCTCACCCGTGCGCTTCTTTCAATTAATATTTTATACGAACATATACATACCCATCTTTGCGACTTCAGACTTTTATACTGTTAGTCCGTCTATCTGCAGAAAAAGTTGAGGCAATTATCATTATGACTTGCAAAGCTTCATCCAGTGATTGAAAGTTCTGAAAAAAGAAAGAGAAAAAAAAACCCTTGGACAGTTCGAAATTACAAATTCAAATTCAAATTCAAATATCTTATGCAACGCTGGTACGCTCAGTATAAAACAAGATTGTCACGATAGCATTCTAGAAGTGATAAAAAAGGCTGAAAGAATGCTACGCGGGCCAAATACATCTGCCGCTTCTGTTGAAAAAGAAAACAAGCAAGATCACTTTTCACTATGATTGAATCAATACCGTGATAAGTTCTTCACTAACCTAAAATGCCATTTATGAAGCCTATATTTTTGAAGTATTTCGTGTCTAGCCAAAAATAAAATAGAAATCTACATCTTGTAGCTTTCACGGATTGTGCTGCAATTTCCAACGGGTAAAATAATGAAAGAGGAGGTAAACAATCTACAAAAGATAGTTAGGTCTAATCAGCTTCTCGCTCTTGCTACCTGCAGTAAGCGAAAGTCGTGCTGAGTTCCTTTCATTTCATGCATAAAGTTTATAAATTAATCTTTGTTAGCGTAAAGAGTGGTGTGTAAACCAATCATATTGTAGTATTTTTCGATATTGCAACAATCCGAGCGTTCTTGCTAATTCGTGGTTTGACAGGTGTTCAAATTTCAGCGAATAAGCGCGTAACTGTCGGAGAGCGGTTCGCGAACTGAGGAAACGTATTAGTCGTGTTGGGAAAGCGGGGGAGTTGTGATCGTTGTGCGGCTATGGTTATTCTTCGTCATAAAGGAGACTGAGTGGAACATAGGGAAAATTTTAGATCAAATATTGCTTAAGATGTTGAAGGGAACAACTTCAGAATACCCGGCCACTATTGATCGTTATGAGTGGATTGCTCCCGCGGTCCTGATGTCGAAAAATAGTATCAAAAGAGAGGACATTTAAACTAGTAATCCCGCATTCAAGCTTTCCTGAAGTCCAAGAATAATGAAATGATACAGCCGTAAAACTAGTGCATCCACATTTCCTCGCTCACGAAGAATGATATCATGAGGGGGCAGTTAAACTAGAGGTCCCGCAATTCTGCGCATTCAAAGCACAAACCTAATACAGTGAATCACTTCTATTGTTAGCGTACTGATGAAAACAACAACCCTTGGAGATAGTAGAAGTTTATTGGCTGATTGTTTAAAATCGATTAATTGATACAATCGTCTTATGTAAACATTAGCGATTGGATTCATCAGTAGCTTAATATAGCCGACGAAACAATTATACTTTCCTGACAAAAAATAAAAAAACTTGTGGAAGTCACTACCACATACCTTTAATTTCAATCAGTCAAAAAACTTGCGGTCTATAAAATGCGTTCTGTGATGTTTTCACTCCGAGGCAGGAAAAAAACTTCAGAGGTTTGTTATTAGATGTAAGCTGAAGAAATCCTTGTAAACAAAGTCATCGCGTTCAAATGCTAATTTTTATTGAGCGACCCCACATTTCCACGGTGGGCACACAGGGCCCAAAATGATGCACGCGCACGCAGTAATATATGTGGGCAGCGGCAAGTCCGCAAAAATATATCCAAGATGGAGGCCGAATAGGCCGAGTCAAGAACCTTGGAAAAGCAGATTGAAGTATCTAGAATTTTTCAAAGGAAACGTCCGAAAATCTTTAAAAGGGTCTTATAATGTCTTCAAGCCACCTTCAGATCCCTTAAAGGTAATGCTGAACGTTGGCATAAGCTGCGGGTCAATATTCAAGGACGAATCCAGGTTGTGGCTCACTAGAATTTACACCAGACTTGCTATGAAGGTTAGCATAAGGAACCCTTATCATTCAGAAATTTTACGGAACATTCCTCTGGAGGTGTTCCTGTCGCTAA